CCCACGCTACACCTTTTCTCCCTTTTGGCTTAGACTTCTTCCTGTGGATCAATGAGGGGTTTTTATTTCAGTCAACAAAAGCTGACTCTTGATAGCTTCAGCAATATTGTACTAGAGAGCTATTGTAGGGCTCCTAGAACCCGTGGAAAAGCTGGATACCAGGCTTGGAAAAGGGGTGGTATCTTATGTTATGCTTATCATTCAGTAAATTAAAAAAATATATATATATGTATACACTTTTATTGATTTCAGAGAAGGGAGAGGGAGGGAGAGAGAGAGAGTTGGAAACACCAAGGATGAAAGAGAGTCATTGATTGGCTGCCTCTTGCACACCCCACACTGGTGATCAAGCCCGCAACCTAGGCATGTGCCCTGACAGGAATTCAAACTGTGACCTTCTGGTTCATAGGTAGACATGCAACCACGCCAGCTTGGCTCATTCAGTAAATTTATCCTCTCTCTCAGCCTCCATGGGGGAAATAAGTTGAATTGGCTCATCTGATTTATTTTTTACCTTCCCAATCAGAAAAGGATTCTATCACTTTTTAGTCTTTCTTTTTTTTTCAATTATAGTTTATAGTCAATATTATTTTGTATTAGTCTCAAATGTACAACACAGTGGTTAGACAGCTATATACTTTACAAAGTGTTCACCCTGGTATTTCCAGTACCCACCTGGCACCAAATATAGCAATTACAATATTATTGACTATATTCCCCATGCTGTATTTTATATCTGCAATAACAAATTGTAACTACCAATTTGTACATCTTAATTGCTTCACTTTTTTTCACCCAGTCCCTGAATCCCCCTCCCCTCTGACAACTATCAGACACTTCCTGTATCTATGAGTCTGTTTCAATTTTATTTGTTCACTTATTTTATTCTCTAGATTCCACATGTAAGTGAAACATATGGTATTTATCATTATCTGGCTAACTTATTCATCTAGTGTAATACCCTCTAGGTTTATCCACGCTGTCGCAAATGGTAATTTTTTTTTAATTTAATAGCTGAGTGGCCCATGTAATTTGCTTTGGCCAATGAATTGTGGGAGGAAGTGCCCATGCCCTTAAGAGACTATTTTTTCTACTTATGGAGCTTCCTACCTCTGTCATGAAGAAGCATTTTTTTAAAACAAACCAAAAAAAAAATTATTGAGAAACATCAGTCAGCTGCCTTCTGCACACCACCCACTGGAGATGTGCCCACAACCAAGGTTCATGACTTTGACTGGAATGGAACCTAGGACCCTTTAGTCCGCAGGCCGACCCTCTATCCACTGAGCAAAACTGGTTAGGGCAGAAGAGGCATAATCAAGGTAACCTGCTGGCTCCCAAATAATGAAAGACAGGGTGGAGTCAAGGCACCACAGCCAACTCATACGCTGCAGCTTAAACCTCCATCCCCAGATACCCAGCTGGTGCAAAGGCAAGAAGTAGTGTTTTTTATTATAGGTCACTGAGGTTTTGTGATTGCTTATGACACAGCATTAAGTGTGAATAGCTGACCAAGAAAGGCAAGAACCAAGGAAGGTTGGGGAGCAGGACCCATGACTAAGGCCATGCCATAAAAACCAGTCCTGAACTGTTCCAGGTAACTTCGTTGGTTAGAGCATCATCCCTATATGCCAAAGTTGGGGGTTTGATCCCTGGCCAGGGCACATACTAGAATCAACCAATGAATGTATAAATAAGTGGAACAACAAATCAACATTTCTCTCTTTCTTCTCTCTCTCTCTCTCTCTCTCTCTCTCTCTCTCTCTCTCTCTCTCTCCCTCCCTCCCTCCCTCCCTCCCTCCCTCCCTCCCTCTCTCTCAAAAACATGAAGACAACAAAAAGCATCAGTTGGTGAGAATATTTCTGCTTGTTCCATTGGCCATTGCTACTGCTGAACTCTCAACTCCACCACTATATTATGACTGTGTTCTAAGCCAGTACATTAATGTGCCTGTGGAACACCTGGGGATTTTGCAGGCCCTGACTGGTATGGCTCCGTTGGTTGGAGCACTATCCTGTACACCAAAAGGTGGTGAGTGATTCCCAGTCAGTGAACATACCCAGGTTTTGAGTTCGATCCCTGCCTGGGCAATCAATTGCTGTTTCTCTCTCACACTGATGTTTCTCTCTTTCTCCCGACTTGCTCTAAAAATCAATTAAAAAATGCAGATTAAGTAGGTCTCAGTGGGGCCTATGATTCTGCATTTCTACTAAGCTCTGGGGTGATGCTATCCAGAATATGCTTTGGTTAATAAAGTTCTGAACTGTTCCTACTTTAACCCTTAAGAGTAAAGTCACAGCTCTGGCCTGTTTGGCTCAGTGAATAGTGTGTCAGACCACGGACTGAAGGGTCCTGGATTTGATTCCAGTCAAGGGCATGTACCTCAGTTGCAGGCTCAATCCCCAGCCCTAACCTATTGGAAGTGTTTCTCTCACATTGATGTTTCTCTGTGTCTCTCCTCTCCCCTTCCACTCTCTGTAAAACTCAATAGAAAAATATCCTCAGGTGAGGATTAACAACAACAATAAAACGAGTAAAAGTCACAGATGGGAGCATCTCTGAATGTGTGACCCTAGGTCACATGACCATGCCCTGGCTGCGAGGTGGCAGGGAGAGGGATGATTTTCTGCAGTAGGTGGAGAAGAACTATATTGTCCTTGATATTTGACAGGGAAAAGAAAGGAGTGGTTCTCAATCTTTATTGTGCATCAGCATTACTTGGGGGTGGTATGGTATTAAAAATCAGATTCTGGGTGCCAACCCAGACTTCCTAAATCTTATTCGATGGGCAATGGGAGCTGAGATTCTTCATAAAACATATACCTCATGTAATTCTGATAAAGGTAGTCTGTGGACCACACTTTGATTAACATGAATAAAAATCTGGAAACCTGAACTCAATCAACTTGTTAACCCACTGGCCTGAATAAAGATCGGTACCTATCTTTCCTCTGCTCTATGAGAAATCCCATATATCTCCTGTCTGAGGGTAATCCCTTCACCTGAATCATCCATCATCTTCTCTCATGTTATCAATTCTCTTTTGGTTTTGCCTTCTAAATTCAATGTCTTCCCTTCTTTTGGGTCAATCTTCTCTGTCCCGTTAGTGGGCAGGTCCAGTCTAAATAGTCTCTCAGGCTTGTGTCATATTAGACGTATGGCGAGGAGAGCAAAAAGTTATCTATTATAGAAGATGGAAATCTTAATTTGAAGTTTAACCATAAAGCAAAGAACAGAAGACCTCCCTACCCACCCTGTACAGATGAAAATCCCTGTATAACTTAAAATATATGTATATATATTTAATATTTTTATTGATTTCAGAAAGGAAGAGAAAGAGAGAGACATCAATGATGTGAGAGAATCATTGATCAGCTGCCTCCTGCAAGCCCCACACTGGGGATGGAGCCTGCAACCCTCGCATGGGGCCCTAACCAGAATTGAACCATGACCTCCTGGGTCATAGATTGATGCTCAAACACTGAGCAACATTGGCGGGGTTCCCTGCATAACTTTTTTTTTTCACTTTTGTATTTTATTTTTTTTTTATATATTTTATTGATTTTTTTACAGAGGGGGAGGGAGAGAGATAGAGAGCTAGAAACGTCGATGATAGAGAAACATAGACCAGCTGCCTCTTGCACACCCCCTACTGGGGATGTGCTTGCAACTAAGGTACATGCCCTTGAAGGGAATCGAAACTGGGACCTTTCCGTTTTGGCCCCTGCATAACTTTTAACTTCCCCAAAACTTAAATGCTAATAGCCTACTATTGACCAGAGCCTTACCAATAATATAAATAGGATTAAGACATAGTTTGTATGTTATATGTATTACATGCTATATGCTTACACTAAAGTAAGCCACATAAAAGAAACTTAAAATTATAAGAGAAAATAATTTATAGTATTTATTTTTTAAAAATATATTTGATTGATTTTTTTTTTACAGAGAGAAAGGGAGAGGGATAGTTAGAAACTTAGATGAGAGAAAAACATTGATCAGCTGCCTCCTGCACACTCCCTACCAGGTATGTGCCCACAACCAAGGTACATGCCCTTAATTGGAATCGAACCTGGGACCCTTGAGTCCGCAGGTCGATGTTCTATCCACTGAGCCAAACCGGTTTGGCCGCACCACTTTTTAAGTGGCGATGATTCTAGCGCCCACTCCTTACTTAACGCCTCTACTGCCCTTGTTAGTTTCAAGTGCCCATCCTACACACTGTCACACCTTAGGCACTCAATCTTTAAAAATGACTATATTAGCCCCAAAAGGTTTTCTCTAATACATTATAGTTTGTCTGTGGTTTTTTTAAAATTGATTTCAGAGAGGAAGGGAGAATCATTGATTGGCTGCCTCCTGCATGCCCCCTACTGGGGATTGAGCCTTCAACCCCAGCATGTACCCTTGACCGAAATCGAATCCTTGTTCTTTCTTTTAAAAGACATGCATATTAACCAGTCACCCCCATAAATTTAATTTAAAAATAAAATTAAAAGATATATATAAAGGATATATATATATATATATATATATATATATAAATATATATATATATATAAATATATATATATAAAGACTATAATGTGCGCGTTTGACTATCATCGTTTTGCCCTCGGGATTGATCAGTTCTGGCCCGGCCCAGCCGAGGACTAAACTCTCCCCTTCCCGTGAGAGGAGCCCAGACGGGGGTTTATTGTGAGTTTATTGCACGGTCATCAAGCTCCTCGGTGACGGGGGGCCCAGGCGTGGCGTCACCCGCCGCCCTCGCCGCCCCTGCCCCGGCCTTCCCGCCGGCCCCCGCGCGGGGCGTCCTTAGCAACGCGCGCGCTCACCCCCAGCCCCGCCCCGTCCGCGCGGCGCCGCGCGGGGCGGGAGGCGGCGGCGGTGTCTGCGCCTGCGTGAGGCCGCAACCGCCAGTCGGCTCTCTTCCCCTCCCCTCCCTCCCCTCTCCCCTCTCCTCCTCCTCCCCTGCCTCCGGGAGCGAGACGCCAAGATGGAGCCTGAGGACCTGCCTTCGCCCCGCGAGCTCGAGGAGGAGGAGGAGGAGGAGGAGGAGGAGGTAGAGAAGAAGGAAGAGGAGGAGGTCCCGGAGGAGAAGGAGGCCGAGGACGAGGACCAGGAGGCGGCGGCGGAGAGCTTAGACGAGGACGAGGTGGTGATGGTGGAGGACGTGGGGGAAGAGGAGCGGCGGGAACCGGACACGGACTTGAACTTTGGAAGCCAGGCGGAGGAGAGCTCGGACGACTACGAGGAAGACGAGGAGGCCAAGGCCTGGCTGCAGGCGCACCCCCGCGGGCCTTTGCCGCCGCCGTCACTGCCGAAGCTCCGCTACTCGGAGGAGGTGAGCCTGCGGGGCGCGCGCGGGGGGCGGGCGGGGTGACGGGTCGCCCTGGAGCGCTCGGCGGGCTCCCGGCCGGGGCTGCCGCCTCCTGCTCGCTGCCTGTCTTCGTTTCGAAAGGCTGGTGAGGGCTGCCTCCTGCCCCGGTCCCTGCAGGGCCCTCTGTTGTTGCTCTTGGCGGTTCCCGGGCTTTTTGAATGAGACCAGGTGTTCGGAGGAGCCGGCGTTCCCGGCTCGTGCCTTTGAGGAGGAAAGCTTTTTGGGAGGAGCTGGCAGGGCTTTTGGGAGGAGCTGGTGTGGGAGTGGGGGGAGAGGGTGGTTGCCGAGGGACGATCTTGTTGGGAAGACAATTAGGAGATTAGTTTGCCTGAGTGAAGGACACCCCCCGGGGGAGCGGTGTCTGCGCGAATAGTTGGGTCCCTGGAGGCTCCTCGCAGATGGTGCTTCTCGGGGCCCTGGTTTGTAGCAATCAAGGGGGGTGGATGGATGGGGGGGGAAGGGGTCCCCAGCAAGTAGGAGAGCGACTTAGAAACGCATGAGTCTTCTGCTCCGCAGCCCCAAACAGTCTAGGAAACTGCTGAAGCACAAGATTAATGTGCAATGGAAAAAGCTGTGTTTTTTTTTGTGTTTTTTTTTTTTTTTTTTTTACGGCTGGGTACTGAAGATCTTAAGGATTTTGAAATGACTTGTGTTTAATTGATTGCCTTTTTTTTTTTAGGGAGGAAAAACAAGTTTGCTATACGGTTCTGATGTCAGGCCATCGTTTATTAGGTTTCTGTTCTTGTATAGCGTCCGTTATGCGGACAAAACGGAGCCCAGGGTTTATTGTTTAGAACTACCTTTGGACGAGATGTAAACTGCAGAGTGAAACCAAGTGCAACAATGGGAAAGACTACAGATGGACCTGCGCTGTCTGTGTTGTTAAGTAGTCACTAGTCACGTGCAGCTCTTTACATCTTAATTAGTTAAAAGAAAAAAAAAATTAAAAATACCTACTGACCGCTTTTCAAGCGCTCAGTAACCACACTTGACTAGTGGCCACCCTATTGGACAATGCAGACATAAAATAGTTTCATCATCACAGAAAGTGATGCTATGGACTATTGATCATTAAAGAATAATAGTTGTTTTGCCTAGTAAGTATCCCAGTGGGTCTTTAATTCATTGAGCGTTTCCCACTGGCCATGCATTGTGCTGGATGCTGGATGCATCTGTTCCCTATCTCCAGATTCATTTGCATGGCACAGTTCTTAAATCTTTTTTGACCTATTAACATATACTTTGTTCTTCATGTTTTCATGTGCTCCTATGATAAAAATTATTATAGTGTGCTTTTCTCTTAAGGAACTACTGGATTTTATTTGTAGATATTTTATAAATGATAATGGTTTTAAGTTTTATAAAAAAATTGTTTCCTTGACCTGCCTTTGTCAAATTTGAACTTTTTATTATGCCAGTTTTCATACAAGGAATTGGGAAGATTTTTATTTTCTATGCCCTGGGATAGTTTAAGTAATATATGAGTATTTCTTGCATGTTTGAAAAAATAATCATGAGTGAAACGACTTTGAGTCTGGGTTCCTTGTAGGATGATAGTCTATATAGACTCACTTATTTTTCTTGGGTTAATTTCGGTAATTTCTAATTTTTCTAGAAAATAATTTCAATAAGATTTTCTAGGTAATTGTAATAGAGTACTCCATAGTATTTTTACAATTTTTTTTCAGTTGCACCTGTGGTTATTTACATTTCTCATTCCTGTTTTATGTAATTCTGCTTTATTTTTCCCTGATCTGATAGCTGGGATTTACTTATATTTTTATCCTAGGAAACATCTTGGGTTTAAGTTTAGTTCTATTTCTTTTCATCATTTAATTCATTATTTCAGTTTTTATCTTTTACTGTTTCCCTAGATTTATTTTTATAAAATATATTTTTATTGATTTCAGAGAGGAAGGGAGAGGGAGAGATATAAACATCAATGATGAGAATCATTGATCAGCTGCCTCCTGCATGCCCCCTGCTGGGATCTAGCCTGCAACCTGGGCATGTGCCCTTGTTGGAATCGAACTTTGACATCCTTGTTCATAGTTTGATGCTCAACCACGGAGCAACACTGGCCGGGCTTGAGTTAATTTTTTTGTCAATAATTTATTCATTTATTTATTGAATTTGAGGTGAAATCCTATATAAAAGGCTAATATGCAAATTGACCGAACAGCAGAACAACCAGTCACTATGACATGCACTGACCACCAGGAGGAAGATGCTCAATGCAGGGGTCTCCCTGTTGGTCAGTGTGCTCCCACAGCGGGAGTGTCGCTCAGCCAGAAGCCCTGAGCCAGGCTCACGGCTGGCAAGTGCAATGGCAGTGGTGAGATGTCCAACTGCCGGCTTCTGATCTAGTATCAGATCTAGGTCTTCTGATCTAGTATCATGGGTTATCTTTTCATTTATTTAGATTCTGCAACTCCTGGGGAGCCGGCCTAAGCCATCAGTTGGACATCCCCTGAGGGCTCCTGCACTGCTAGGGTGCAGGCCAGGCTGGGGGACCCCTCCCCCCCTTTTAGTGCATGAATTTCATGCACTGGGCCTCCAGTTGGTTAAAATTATATAGGTTTCAGGTGTACAATTCTACAATATATCATCTGTATGTTGTACTGTGTGCTCACCACTTTCAGTTAATTATTATATGTGGTGTGAGAAAAGAGTTCAATTTCATTTTTTTGTATGTGGCTACCAGTTGTCCCAACACCATTTGTTGAAGAGGCTATTCTTTCCCAACTGATAAGTCTTAGCATACTTGTTGAAAATCAGTTGATCATAGATATGAGTTTATTTCTAAATTCTTAATTCAGTTCCATTTTTAATGCCATGCCACACTTTTTTGATTACCACTGCTTTGTAGTTCGTTTTGAAATGGAGATGTATGAGTCCTCTAATTTCATCCTTTTTTTCAAGATTTGTGTGTGTGTGTGTGTGTGTGTGTGTGTGTGTGCGTGCGTGCGCGTGCGTGCGTGTGTGTGTGTGTGTGTGGCTATTTTTGATTCATTGTAATTACATATGAACTTTAGGATCAGCTTGTTAAAAAGTCAGCTGGTATTTTGATAGGAATACAAAATTTGGAAGTATTGTCATCTTAACATTAGGTCTTCTGATCTAGTATCATGGGTTATCTTTTCATTTATTTAGATCTGTAAATTTGTTGAATGATGTTTTATAGTTTTCAATGTAAGTTAGGTTACTCTGAGTATTTTATTCTTTTTGGTGCTATTATAAGTGAAATTTTTCCTTCCATTTTTGGATTGTTCATTGCATGTATATAAAAAGACAATTGACTTTTGTGTATTGATCTTGTATTCTGCAACTGCTGAACTTATTTATTAGTTCTAAGAGATTTTTAATAGACTCCCTAGGATACAGGTAAAATGCAAGTACATATAGATTTATTCTTTTTCAATTTGGATATCTATCTATTTATTTATTTATTTTCCCCTAATTTCCCTGACTAGAACCTCTAGTATAATGTTGAACAGAAGTGATGAGAGAGGATTACCTTGACTTATTCATGATTGTAATGGGAAAATGCCCAGTCTTTCACGAAAAGTATGATGTTAGTTGTAGGTTTTTCATAGATTGCTTTACCAGGTTGATGAAGTGTTCTTTTATTGCTTTATTGGTTTGTTGAGAGTTTACCATGAAAGTGGTGTTAGATTTTGTCAAATTATGCTATTAATTGGTGTATTAATTGATATTGGGTTACTAAGTGATTTGTGCATTCTGAAGATAATTTACAGCATCATGATAAATAAATATATATTGCTGGGTAAAGGAACACAAATATACTAATTTAGTATTTTCTTTTTAATTTTTTGCATATATATTTTCAAGATACTGGTTTATAGTTTCCTTGTGATGTTTTTATCTGGTTTAGTATCAGGGTAATACTGACTTTATAAAATGCATTGTAAGTGTTTCTTCTGTTTTTGAGTTTGAAGGATCAGAATTAATAATTTTTTGAGTGTTTGGTAGATTCTATCATAGGTGTTTGGGCTTTTCTTTTTGAAAAACATTTTAATTATACCGTTTTCTTGCTATACAGGTATACTCAGATCACCTATTTTTTTTAAAAAAATACATTTTAGAGATTTTTTTACAGAGGAAGGGAGAGGGGTAGAGAGTTAAAAACATCTATGAGAGAGAAATATCGATCAGCTGCCTCCTGCACACTCCCCACAGGAGACTGGAATGCCCTTGACTGGAATCGAACCTGGGACCTTTCAGTCACAGACCGATGCTCTATCCACTGAGCCAAACCGGTTCGGTCACCTATTCCTTCTTGAATCAGTTTCAGTAATTTGTGATTTTTACAGGTGTTTGTCCATTTACATTAACTTAACAAATTGCTTAACATACAGTTATGTATGTTATAGTACAGATGCTCCTTGACTTTAAATGGGGCTCAGTTCCAGTAAACCTATTGTAAGTTGAGTATAAGTTGAAAATGCATTTAATACACCTAACTTACAGAACATCATAGTTTAGGCTAGCCTACCTTAAATGTGCTGAGAACACTTACATTATTGGGATGTAGCCCCATCATAAGTTTTAATTGCCTTCCTCTTCTCACCAGAAGCAAGAGGCACTGATGGGCATTTTGTTGGCATGATGGGATTTGAAAACATAAAAACACGATATTTAAAAATGCTGGCAACACAGTACATTGTAGATTATTGGTTATTTATCCTCATAATCTTGTGTCTGATATGGAGCTGAGGCTTGCTGTTGATACCCAGCATCACAAGAGTATCATATTGCATATTGCTAGCCTGGGTAAGGATTAAAATTCAAAATTTAAGTATGGTTTCTACTGAACATATAAGATATCCACCATTGTTAGGTTGAAAATTTATAAGCTGAATTATAAGTTAGGGATCGTCTGTATCCTTTATAATTCTGAGCATGTCTGTAGTGTAGTAGTCAAGTCCCCCTTTAATTTCCAATTTTAGTAATAGTGTAATAAGAGTATGTTTAATTTTGTGAGAAACTGACAAACTTTCTTGAAAAGTTCTTTTGGATATATACCCAGAAGGAAGTGCTATTGTGGCATCATATGGGCCATAGGGTAGTTTTGGTTTTAATTTCCTGAGGGATCGCTGTTCTGTTTTGTTTTTGTTTTTGTGGTGATTGTACCATTTAAAAATATATAGATATTTTATTGATATTTTTACAGAGAGGAAGAGAGAGGGATAGAGAGTTAGAAATACCGATGAGAGATAATCATCGATCAGCTGCCTCTTGCACACCCCCTACTGGGGATGTGCCCGCAACCAATGCACATGCCCTTGAACCCGGGACCCTTCAGTCCGCAGGCTGACGCTTTATCCATTGAGCCAAACCGGTTTCGGCGATTGTACCATTTTTTATCCTACCAAAGAAGGTTCCAGTTTTTCAATATCCTGTCCAATAATAATAATAATGATTAATGTGATTTTATATATATATATATATATATATATATATATATATGTATATACACACACACACACACACATATATATACATATATATATAAAATATATTTAAATATATATATTTTTATTGATTTCAAAGAAAAAGGAAAAGGAAAGATAGAAACATCAATGATGAGAGAGAATCATTGTTCAGCTGCCTTCTGCATGGTCCATTCTTAACCATTGAGCCACAACCGGCTAGGTTATTTTTAAAAAATCTTTGTTATTGACAATATTACATATGTTCCCTTTTTTTTATCCCATTGGCCCCTTCTAGCCCACCCTCACCCCAGGCCTTCACCACCCTGTTGTGTGTATCCATGGGTTTTTCATATATGCGTCTGAGTTCTTTGGCTGATCTCTCCCCTGCCCCCTCCCCTCCTCCCTTCCCCTTGCCTTGCCTCTGCCATTTGACCATCTATTCCATGCTTCTGTGTCTCTAGATCCATTTTGTTTATCAATTTATTTTGTTTGTTAGATTCCACATATGAGTGAGATCATGTGATACTTTTCTTTCTCTGACTGGCTTATTTAGCTTAGAATAATATTCTTCAGGTCCCTCCATGCCGTCTCAAGGGGTAAGATATCCTTTTTCACTGCAGCATAGTATTCCATGGTGTAAATGTAACAGTTTTTTTTTTATCTACTTTTCTGCTGATGGGCACTTGAACTATTAAAGATCTTAGTTTTTGTAATTGTGCTGCTATGAACATAGGAGTGACACATTCTTTCTGATTTCTGTTTTTAGGTCATTACCATACAATTACATAGCTTTATAATGTAGTTTTGCTTTTTAACATATATATTTATTGATTTCAGAGAGGAAGGGAGAGGGAGATAGAAACATCAATGATTGACTGCCTCCCACACGTGACCTAACTGGGGATCAAACCCACAACATGGGTATATGCCCTGACTGGGAATCAAACCTGCTACCTTCTGGACAACCAAATGAGCCACACTGGCCAGGGCTGATCTTGCCTATTAAAAAAAAATTATATATATTTTATATATATAAAATTATATATATTTTATAAAATTATATATATATATATATCCTTACAGCCAGCCATAAACTTTCTCTTACCTCTGCTTTTGTTGCATTCCATAAATTTTGGTATTTTTATATTGTCATTATGTCAAAGTATTTTATAATTTCTCTTGTGATTTCTTGTTTGACCTGTTGTTTTTCTAAGCGTATATTGTTTAATTTTCATATATTTGTGGAATTTCAGTTTTTTTGTGCTGTTGATATCTAGTTTCATCTCACTGTGGTTGGAATAGATTGGTGTGTGTGAGTTCAATCTTCTTGAATTTGTTAAGACTTGTTTTGTGCTTAATTTTTTCTATCCTGAAGGATATTTCATGTGTACTTGAGAAATGCATATTCTGCTGTTGTTGAGTGGAGTATTCTGTATATTTCTATTAGGTCCAGTATCTATAGAGTTAAGTTCCACTATCTCCTTGTTCTTCTATCTGATTATTGAAAGTGAGGTACTGAAGTCTCTTAATATCATTGTAATATCAAACTTTGCCTCATTAATTTAAAAATTGCCATTGAAGCAACGTGGGAGTGTTCCATGATACTCTGTATTTTGAGAAAAACCTCTTGGAACACTTTATATCTTATAAATCTCTCCTTTTTCTCTTTAGTTATTGAATAGATTTTCAATTAAGCTGGCCTTCCTATGACCAAAAACACCTTGTTTTATGTGCTCTGTAAAAAAGTTTTGTTAGTGTAGTAGCAGTAATTTTGGGGGGGAATCTGATGACCTTGGGTTTCCTTCACAGGCTGTTATTTGTTGTTATTAATATTTTATTAGCATTCATCTTTTTAAAAAAATGTTGTTTTTTTGTTTTGTTTTGTTTCAGATATGAAGGGTAAAAGAGAGAGAGATAGAAACATCAATGATGAGAGAGAATCATGAGTCAGCTGTCTCTTGCATGCCCCCGATGTGGATCAAGCCTACAACCTGGGCATGTGCCTGACCAGGAATTGAATTGTGATTTCCTGGTTCATAGGCTGATGCTCTGCCACTGAGCCACATTGGCCAGGCAGCATTCATCTTTTTTTGACTCATAGCTGCCTGTTTTATAACAGCTTTCTTTTTTACGGCCATTGTGTCTTCATTATCTCTCTGAGAATCTGAGATATTCTTATTTTTAAAATGTATTTTGAATGTGTAGTTTGCAATCACCTTTTTAATAGGAGTGTTGTTTTGTTTTGATTTTTGGTGCACCCTTCGTTGCCTGGTGTCTTGTGGTTGTCTCTGCCTGTCCTTTGTATCTGTTTTTTTAGGAAGTAGTCTAATATTGGAAGCTTTGGGTTTTTATTCTCCAGGGATATTGAGTAAAATCTCGAGAATCAGTCCCTGAACCAGAGAGTGATTTGACCTAATTCATTTTTGTTTGATTGCATCTGATCTTTTTCATTTGCATTGTTTCAGCCTTGGTAAGCAGTCATAGCTTTTATTGCTGTTTTCTACAACTGGGAAGGCCCTGTTTCAACCAGTTTCATCAAATGAGCCTAACTTTTATTTTAGTCCTTAATATTAGAGCTAATTTCTGAGGTATCTCAAACATTAAGATTTTTATATAGCCGAAACCAGTTTGGCTCAGTGGATAGAGCATCGGTCCGCAGACGGAAAGGTCCCAGGTTTGATTCTGGTCAAGGGCATGTACATTGGTTGCGAGCACGTCCCCAGTAGGAGGTGTGTGCAGGGGGCAGCTGATCGATGATTCTCTCTCATCGATGTTTCTAACTATTCCTCTCCCTTCCTCTCTGTGAAAAATCAATAAAATATATATTTTTAAAAAGATTTTTATATAATTTGCATGTCTTTGCTTGCTTCTTCTACCTCTGAGGGTATAGGAAGTTAAGGAACTGCTATAGTTTATTGAAAAGTATATTGAGTTAACAGGATACTCATAAGTTCAGTGAGGATAATAACGAATAAGTGGTTGTGATGTTGAAATGTCATATTTATGAAAAGGTTTATCAACTGAGAAATTTGTGTTAGATTTTGTTAATACTATTTTAAATCTGCTTGTGATTTTCAGGTTGTTCCATTGACCAGTCATGTATGGCAGCAGTCATCACCTCAAGAAAATAGTAGAACACAGACTATTTTTTCTAATATGGTCTCTTTGGAAGAAACAGCTCAGAACGGTTCTGGGGATGATCAGGTATGTCTTATATGACTGGTAAACGGTGTTACTTATGGTAAACAGCATGAGAAATTCTTATTTAGCTATGAAGAATGGAAAGATTAATATTCCATTTCTCTATTGTTTATATGTTATCTATATCGATATTTAGCTTACTAAATATTAAAACATTTAAAATGCCAAACCTATTATATATTAACATAAATAATGTATGTTAAAGTGAAAAGTGACTATTTTCCCAAACAACAACAAAAATTAGTTGGAAGAGTGGCATTGCTTTATATTTTTGCATATTTCTTTAATGTCAGGCTTCATAGAAAACAGTTGGTCTCTTAGAAAAATAAAACCAGTGAGATACACACACACACACACACACACACACACACACACACAGTGTATATGCCCCTGTAATCATGGAGAATTCCCAATATCTGTGACCTCGTGACTCAGGAGAGCTGATAGTATAGTTGCAGCCTGAGTCTAAAGGCCTGAGGGCCAGCTGATGGCTTATGTTCCATTCTGAGTCCAAGTCAAAGACAGGGGAAGACCAATGTCCCATCAAAGACCATTAGGCAGAGAGAAGGAATTCTCTCTTACTCAGCTTTTTGTTCTATTCAGGCCTTTAAAGGATTGGATGGGGCCTGCCCACATTGGAATGGCAAGCTGCTTTACTCAGTCTATGGATCAAATGGTAATCTCATCCAGACATACCTACTATAATTTTTAGCCAAATATCTGGGCACCCTGTGGTCCAGTCAAGTGACACACAATTAACCTTTACAACTAGATTCTCATATCTGCTTCTGCATTTATTTCTTTGGGATGCATTGTTTTGGTTGAAGTATGTAAAGAAAATCTAGCCTTGTCCTAGTTGGTTTGGCACAGTGGATAAAGCGTCAGCCTCAGACTAAAGGGTTCGATTCCAGTCAAAGGCATATACCTGGTTGTGGGCTCGATCCCCAGTAGGGGGCATGTAGGAGGCAGCTAATCAGTGATTCTCTCTCATCATTAATGTTTCTATCTCCCTCTTCCTCTCCTTCCTCTCTGAATCAGTAAAAATATTTTTTTATTTTTTTAAATAAAAAGAGAGAATTTTTAATTTAATTAATTTATTGCTTCTTCCAGTCCTTTGTTTTTATTTTTTAAAATTTAATAAATCTTTATTGTTCAGATTATTACAATTATTCCTCTTTACCCCTCCCCCAAAGCTCCACTCCGCCCAGTTCCCACTCCACTCTATGCCCTTAACTCCCCCCAACTGTCCTCATCTATAGGTGTATGATTTTTGTCCAGTCTCTTCCCGCACCTCCCACACCGCCTTACCCCCGAGAATTGTCAGTCCACTCCCTTTCTATGCCCCTGATTCTATTATATTCACCAGTTTATTCTGTTCATCAGGTTTTTTATTCACTTTGTTTTTAGATTCACTTGTTGATAGATATGTATTTGTTGTTCATAATTTTTATCTTTACCTTTTTCTACTTCTTCCTCTTCTTAAAGAATATCTTTCAGCATTTCATATGATATTGGTTTGGTGTTCATGAACTCCTTTAGCTGTGAAGCTCTTTGTCTGGCCTTCAATTCTGAATGATAACTTTGCTGGGTAAAGTAATCTTGGTTATAGGTTCTTACTATTCATCACTTTGAATATTTCTTGCCACTCCCATCTGGCCTGCATAGTTTCTGTTGAGAAATCAGCTGACAATCGTGTGAGTACTCCCTTGTAGGTAACTAACTGTTTTTCTCTTGCTGCATTTAATATTCTCTCTGTCTTTTGCTTTTGGCATTTTAATTATGGTCAAGGGCATGTACATGTGTCTTGGTGTGGTCCTCTTTGGATTCCTCTTATGTAGGGTTCTCTGTGCTTCCTGAACTTATAAGTCTATTTCTTTCACCAGATGGAAGAAGTTTTTGTTATTATTTCTTCAAATAGGTTTTCAGTATCTTGCTCTCTCTCTTCTTTCATCCCCATAATTCGGATGTTGGTACTCTTGAGGTTGTCCCAGAGGTTCCTTACACTATCTTCAATTTTTTGGATTCTTTTTGCTTTTCTGATTGAGTGTTTTTTTTTGTTTTTGTTTTTTTGTATTTCAAATCTTTGACTTGATTCTTGCCTTCCTCTAGTCTGCTGTTAGGTCTCTATATAATATTTTTTATTTCAGTCAGTGTATGTTTAATTTCTAGTTGGTTCCTTTTCATATCCTCGAGGGTCTCACTAAATTTATCAGCCTTTTCTAGGAAATTCTTGAAAAACTTTATAACTGGTTTTGAACTCTATATCCAGTCGTTTGTTTTCCTCAATTTCTTTCATTTGTGATATGTTTTGTTGTCTCCGCATTTTGGCTGTTTCCCTGAGTTGATAAGAGTAGCTTTGTGTGCTAGGTGTCCTAGCAGAGCCCAGTGGCTCAGCCCTCCCAGTTACCTGAGGTGGACAGTCTTGGTGCATCCCTTTGTGGCTGTGTGCACAGTCTTTATTGTTGTTGGTATCACTGGGAGGATTCGACTTCCAGGGCAATTGGCTGTCATGATCAGCTGTGTCTACACACTGGGAGAACTTCTGTGCTGGAGATACCCTTATGAAATAAGACTTGCAAAATTACAAAAGCCTCTATGCTCAGCTTGGATGGGGTGGAGTCTCAGGGCAGAGCAGACAGCCTGGGCTTCCTTTCAGCCCTGCCCTAAGAGGCCCCTGGGTCTCAGTGTTCCTCGGTAATCACTGCAAGTGCTTTCGAGAGAAAGATGCCCTCGAGTTTCTCCTGCTGCCAGACAGTTCAGTTTCTCCCCGAATGAGTCTGGGTTCCCAGAGTCTCTCCCGGAACTGGAGTTCAGTGCAGTCAGTAGCTTCCATCTCCCTCCCACTTGAGAAAGCCAGCCATGCACTCAGCAGTTGTGCGGGCGTACCTCCAGACCTCTGCCTTCTGAAGCTCCCTTGAGTCTCAGTGTGCTTTTCTCTTTTCCTGACTGTCCGAATTCCCCCCTGTATGAGTCTGGGTCCCCTGGGTCTCATCCGGAACTGGAGTTCAGCACAGTCAGAGCTTTTGTCTCCCTCCCACTTGAGAAAGCCAGCTCAGTACTCTCCGTGCGCCCGTGCGTTTTCATTCCTCAGCCTTTTGCAGCTCCTCTGAGTCTCAATTTGTTTTTCTCTTTCCTTCTAGTTGTAGAATTTCCACTTAGCCAGCTTTCCTGTGGTTCTGGATGGTGTCCATTTTGTTTTTTAGTTGTAGTTTTGAAATTGTTGTGTGAGGCAGCAGTTTAGGTGTTTAACTATGCTGCCATCTCAGTTTCTCTCCAGTAAAAATATATTTTTAAAAATTAAAAAAAAAAAAGAGCAAGAAAATCTGGCCTTACATAGAAATGTAGTTAGAAAAGGGAAGCTCACAAATGTAGTTAGAAAAGGGATCATTGAACAAGGTTCACTAAAATGAGGTCAGTAACCCCCAGGGAGTCTCAGACCCCATTTTGAGAACCATTGATTTAGGACATAATCATAAACTTAGAAGAAATCGAAAAATTATGACCAGATAGGGAAAGAACTTGTACATATTTGTTAGGAGGAAAAATAAAGCCTTATTCAGTAGTTAAACATTTACAAGTGATTATCTAACATTATAAGAAAGTGTCAAAACTGTTTTTCCTAAGTGACTGTAACGTTTTACATACTCCATAGTGTATGAGAGTATTAGTTGCTTTGCATTCTTTGAGCTCTTGGTATTATCAATTTTTTAAATTTTATCCATTCTAGATGTATTATGGTGTTTCATTGTGGTTTTAATAGGCATTTTCCTAATGACTAATAATACTGTGCACCTTTTTTGTGTACTTATTTGCCATCCATGTTTCTTTTTAAGATTTTTTAAATTGATTTTTAGAGAGAAAGAGAAAATGGAAGGGAGAAAGAGAGAGAGAGAGAGAGAGAGAGAGAGAGAGAGAGAGACAGACAGACAGACAGACAGACATTGATGTGAGAGTGCAACCTCAGTTGCCTACTGCATGTCCCCTACTGGGGATTGATCCCAGAACCCAGGCATGTGCCCTGACTGGGAATTGAACTGACAACCTTTCAGTTCACTGAAGGACACCCAACCAACTGAGCCATACCACTAGGGCTCCATCTTTCCTCTTTAGTGAAGTATCTATATAAGTCTGTTCCCCATTTTTTTTCTTGCTGATTTGTTCCATTTATTGAATTTTGAGAGTTCTTTATATATTATACTACACTTGATCTTAGTCTAAAGGCTGAGAAGCGATTCTTTATATATTATGGATGTCCTTTATCAGATAATGTGTTTTGTAAATATTTTCTCCCTGTCTTTTTTCTTTGTATTTTTCTATCTAAAAGAGCAGAAATTTTAATTTTGATGGAGTTGGTTTATTGAATTTTGTTTTTTGGTGGTTTATACTTCTTGTGTCCTATTCGAGAAATTTTGGCCTAATTCTAGGTCACAAAGGTTTTCTCCTATATTTTTTGTTAGAACAGGGTTTCTCAACCTTGGCGCTTTTCACATTTTAGGCCAGATAATATTTTATTGTGTGGGCTGTCCTGGGTATTGTAAGATGTTTAGCAGCAGTCTTGGTCTTTTCCCACTAGATAGCAGTAATATTCATGTTTGACCATATATGTTCAGGTCTGTTTCTGTTGGTTTGTCTTTCCTCATGCCAACATCACACTTTTAATTACTGGACTGTCTTGAAATTAGGTATTGTGAGTGTGCACACTTTCTCTTTTTAAAAATGGTTTTGTTTATGCTAGATATTTGAATTCTATATAAATTTTAGAATAAGCTTGACAATTTTAAAAAATATATATTTTATTGATTTTGTACAGAGAGGAAGGAAGAGAGAGAGAGTTAGAAACATCGATGAGAGAGAAGCATCCATCAGCTGCTGCTTGCACATCCCCTACTGGGGATATGCCTACAACCAAGGTACATGCCCTTGACCGGAATCGAACCTGGGACCCTTCAGTCCCCAAGCCGACACTCTATCCATTGAGCCAAACCGGTTTCGGCAAGCTTGAC